GCCTCATACTTGCAGATGATGGATGGTGCATATGCAGACGCTTGCAGTTCAGAACAGTGTGCTTGCAATAAATGAGTGCTCTTCATAAATCCAACACTGATAAATCCTGGATTTGTCGCCACGCAGTCATCTCCTCCCGTCTCTTCCCGTCCGCTCGCTTGAGCGCCATTGTACTTTCGACGCTTCCTCGTTGTCGAGAAACCCTGCATAGCCTTCGAACGCACAACGCAAAATGGCCTATTCTGCACGGTAACAAGCATCCCGGGATTCGCGTCAACATCTGTACCTTTGCCTGCGGCGCAGTCGCGTTTGCTTCCGTTATGCAGGAAATCTTGGCGCTGCAGCCTGCAGCCTGGATTGCCGCCCCAACACCGCGCCTTCTACCGTCGTGTATATCACGCTACCACTGGTAACATTCTCCTCGTTCCTCGTGTCTTCAAGAACTAATCCTTCAGCAGTCGCCCCAGATCACTTCGCTCCAGGTCGCGGGTTCGTTAGAACGCTGGGTCTTGGCGTAGGTAGCCTTTGCTGTGTAGTACCAAGGTACCGCTCAGTCGATAAGCTGATCAACTTCAAATTGTCGGCCTCCTGCGAATATTTCAAGCCATCGCTCACGATCTCAACATCCACAGGTCGTCGTTACAGCAAAACAATGACGTCCTCTAATACCGACTCAGACTCTGATGAAGTCGAATTCCTACACGAGACATACAAGGGAAAGGAAGTCATTACTCTCCAGGACGAATTCGAGCATGCCAACGACACTGAGCAGACGCCTCGCAACTACTCATCACCATCTATGATAGGCTTCCGCCTGCTCGACCTTCCGGCGGAACTGCGAATCCACGTATACTCGTTTCTGATCCCACACAACATGGAAATTACATTCGAGCGGTATGGATGGTCGAGTAGCAACGAACCCGACTGGACCACAAATGCCTTCCGAAAGGACGAAGACTTCTCATACAAGATAGGAAGCAATCCATATTACAAAAACACGAAAGTGCGCCGCTATAACCATTTTACGGTCGAGACACAATTATTCCGAGTGAGTAAATTCGTCTCCAATGAGACCAAGTGTAAGTCATCCCGTTGACTCGTATCATTCTGTACTAATGCTTCCAGCGGTTATGTATGGGTCGAATACCTACAACTTTACTGTACATGGAAATTCCATGTGGCCAAAGTCACTACGGAGCCCGTTCGTCTTTGGACCTCTCGGTCATCCCGATCGACTCCCTCTACTACGTAACCTGCGAAGCATCCATATCGACGTAATACCCGATGTCGATAGCCACTGGGCGGTTAAGCGTCAGCGATCAAGACTTGAGTATCTTGTCGAGATTCTGAAAGAGCATGCAGATGACACCGACCAAAAGTCTCTTTTGCAAGATCTGAAAGTTGATTTCCAGCTCGTCTCACAAGACAAGATGAAGAGGATGCTGCGCGATCGTCCTACCTGGCAGCAGGTCGTAAAGCCTAGTATTCCTGAAGACACTGGGAAGTTCATGTTCGGTCTTGAAAGCCTGGCATCCCTTCGGGGTATCAGAGACGTCGAGATCAACGGACTACCGGAGTGGTACACGAAATGCCTACAGCTAGCTATACAGGGCAAGGGAGGAGACATTCAAGAGACGGACTGGCCGCTCGTGGAAGTCAAACGTCGTGCGAATGGGAAGCGCAGGTCGTCGAAGAAGTTGTTCGTCTCGATTCGCAAATGGCATCAGCCAACCCTGGATTGGAAGGAGTTTGCTGAACGTAACGACATCACAACCCCAGCTGACATTGACAAGTTCTGGGCAGACGAGGCGTAGACTTGGCAGTTGTGCATGCTTATCTTACTCAAACAACGAGGCTATGTACACTAAGCTCCTGTAACAGCGGAGTCTGAATCATGCGGTACATTGAAACAGACATCCTCAAGACGCGTGGGTGTATCAGCAGGAAGATGAAGCAGCTCGTTGCGCTCATGGTCATATATGATCGTACAGCCTCGTTAGGCCATGTATTCACAAGTTTCGGTGATGATGGTCCTGACAAGTGACAGTCTGGACCGATTCAGCTTCAACGTAATTGTGAAGTTAACAGCGGTTGGAAGCATTCGAGGGAGGAAGCTCTATAGATGACGATTCACATGTGACACAGCTGCTGCATCGGCTTCGTAGCTCACATGAGTAATCCCTGAAGGGACGGCGACTATCAACAGCTATTCCATCACTTTTTGGCCTGCTTGACTGCAGAGATGACTGCGTGTAGACGTGTGACTCTTGCTGTACTACTCCATCCATGTATGGTACCTACAGGTATGTGGCTTGCCCCACGTTTGCGGCTTGATTGGCTGGCGAGCATGACGCGAACTACGACCATGACCTAATGACTCCTATCGCGCCGCGGCCTTTATCGCCATCTGTCCCTAAACACATGCTCAGTGGGTAATAGAGCTTCTGTCTCCTTGTCCTCTGTTCAGATATCTATCTACTACGATCTCGTAGCATCTCCCTTTGTTGAAGCCCATCCCTACCACGCCTCCCGTAGTTCGCACCCTCAACGCCACCACAATGGCCGTCGGCGATATTCCCTCAAGCCCTCAGCAGGCAGCTGCCCCGCCTCAGCCCATCGACATCGAAGCGTGGACGGAGCAAGCAACTGTTGCGCTCAGCTCGGTGGCTATATCCGCCCCTGGTGATGCGCTTCAGAGTACCTCGGTTACGCTTGCGATACCGCTCGACCATGATGCGCCTGCCGCTGCCGCCCACCCCGTAGGTGCCTCGGCAGCTGCAAAGGAGGGTGGCTACTATCATCGCAAGGAACCACTCCGTCGCGACAGCTTGAAGAGGCGTGAAGCCCTGCTCCGCGGCAAAGAGGGGTCAAGGCGCAGGCAGCGTTGGGAGAATGGTACGTTGAGGGTCTGCCCCTCCCCCTTCCGCTGGAGACGCTTTGCGCATCGCGACACCATCTCCTGATCTTCCCATGCACTGCGAGTAATTCATCGTTTAAAGTACGCGTCAATTGATTTCTAGCCAGACCGCCTCCTGAACAACCCCTACGCTGAGCCTCCGCTGCCGAAGGACTGGGAGGTCCATCCTACCTACACGTCCAAGAATGTACCCTACTATCTCGCTCCGCTCTGGGACGCCGGCCTCAAGCGCCAGTCCAACGAACGCAAGACCGCCGCCGTCGCCCAAAAGTCCGCGACCAAGACTGTAGCCAACAAGCCCACGACTCCCGGTGTCGTGCCCAAGGAGCTGCGCGAGAAGCTGAAGCGATCGCGCGGTGCCAAGGGTCTGCTCATGGACCTTGAAGGCGAAGTGCGCAAGTTCGTAGAGGGCTGGGAAGAAAAGGAGCGCAAGGCAGAGCAAGACGGCCTACCTGCCGATCCGGACAGCGAGGACGACGAGATCGTCTTCGTTGGAAGGAACGGGCAGATGAACGATCTCCGCTCGCCTACAGAGGCTGAGGCTATCAAGAAGGAGCTCATGCTCTTTGAGACACCCGAGGAAGACGTTGGAGGCAGCTTCGGACGTTGGCTCGTACACCACATTGGGGTCTACTATGGCTTGAAGACCTGGAGTGTCACTGTTGGCAATCCAGCCAGGCGCGAAGCCTATGTTGGCTTAAAGGGTGCGAAGCTCCAGGCTGGCAACACTGGCAGCCAGGTCTGTGGCACCTTGCCTCGACCGCTCTATGGCTTGGTATAGCTTGCTCATGGTCTCTTGAGCTCCTTCAAGATCTGTCGCGCACTCCATGTCTGTTCATTTGGTCTGCTTCACTCATGTACACGGCATGTACATGATTTTGTATCTCGGACTCACACCTTTTCATGATTTTTGTCGCCGCTGCGATTCGCATCTGCATCTACATCTGCATATAGATGGATGGGCCGTAACTCTTTGAATCACACATCATGTCCTTCTAGGAAGCTTGACTGAACAATTAATCGTGTTGCTGATGCTACGCTCAATTGGAAGTAAGGCTGACCCAAAGCTCGGTCGCGTAGCACAAAGCAGGGCCAACCCCTTAGCTCGGCTTTGTGCTGTGCATGCACACATGAGTCGCGAACGTTAGGACCATGCTACGTGCCCTGACTCTCTCATAGACTTGTTCTTCTAGGATCACACAATGTTGTCAGTGGCGTTTATGCGTTACTTCGCATAAGAAGATCGTCTGCAGGAACGATCCTTCCGATGTAATTTGTTCGTCATCGCATTGAATGTCCTTCTCTCGCGTTAAGACGAAAGTTAGAAACAAGCTTAGGAACACTAACTCTTCTTACCTTTACTACGCACTACAACGTAGCAAAAAAATAATAAGAAAAATAGAAAGTATAGATCTTACTACTGCGAGTAATTTTATCTTTTTAGATTTTTAATTAGACGTGTTATTGTAGAGAGAGAAGGCCTATCTACTATTAAGAGGCTTCTAGCGTTTGTCTTAACGCAAGAGGTCCTTGTCGCGCACCCCTATACCTGGACAACGTCCCGCTTTTGCAGGTGGCTACAATCCACAAGACAAGGGTGTTCCTATCGGAATCAGATTGAACATCCTTCCAAATGATAGTCGTGAGGGGTGGTCTTGGCGTTGGAGCGAACGGATATAACCCTTGATCGCGCCAAACTTCGAATGCGTTGCTACCATCAATCGTCCTCATAAAAGTACCAACATGGCGACTGAGATGCAAACGCCCGAGGTGTACGCCCCCAAAATCTCCGAGTAAGCATTATAGTCATGTGGCAACGACTTACAGAAAAGCTTACTAGTGTCTTAGGTGTCTGAATGATGAACACCAGTTTCCTCTCTTCAAGAAATTGCTTACGCTTTACAACACTCAACTTCATCAATTATACTGGAAGCATCCATGGTGGTTCTTGCACGGCAATCAAATAGAACCAATGTACATGCAGCTGCTTCCCTTCCACGTTCGCGCAATCACTAATTCTGCTACCAGACTTTTACACCGCGAAGGCGGTCCTATCTTCTTGGCCTACGCAACAACGAACTACATGCTGATAAAACACTATCTGCCTCGTGAAGTTCGGGACATGATTTGGGCCCAGGTCTGGGACGAACATACCGTTGAGGAAAGCCTCGTTTACATGCGCAATACCATCAACAGCACCTGCCGTCTGTGCCTCAACACTAAGAACCTAAACTGTCCATATCATCTATGTCTCCCATTCTTTGTGCGCCCGGAGCTGGTTGGATCAGAGATGGCGACAGAACTAGTGGAGTCATGGTACAACATTGCAGCGACCAAGCACCACAAGCTACTCTACGCGTGGACCGCCAAGGGTGTACAGGAGATCATTTGCAAGGACGCTTTCAACATTGGACGCGAACCAGCCCAGTTCATAAGAAAGCTGGAAATCAGCATGAATGTGGACGATTTCGTTCCACCACAGGTAAGTTCTGACTGTACGAAGTGCATGTGAGACATATACTGACTTCGTACCTCTACCTCTGCGCAGGTGCCATTGGAACCGGGAAAAGAGGGTTGGGGTGATATCAGGAGTGCAGAACATCGCCGGGAACTCATCACCGAGCCTCTTTTGAAGATCCAAAACAAATCGGGATTCCGGTTCAAGATTGAAGTCTGCCACAGTCACATCAGGCTCAACCTCTGGAAAGAGGTTTTCGACACGTTTCGAGAACCGGTGAGAGTGATGAAGGACGAAGGGGCGATTGTGAAAGCCACCTTTATCTACAAGGGAGGTCATAATAGGAGTGACGATGTGGCAACGTACGACATCTTGGATGCTATGACACAGCCCGAGGAGGAATGGAAAGCGAACGCAGTAGCGTTCTTTGATGCGGTTTGTTTTTCTTCACCTTCGCACTTCGCATCCAGCTGACCACACGCATCAGCGACGCAGAATTCCAGACGAGCACCGTCTGTACCGGGATGAGGATCGCCCAAATTTCAATCCAGAGAGCCAGGCGTATCTCACTCAAAAAGAACTCGAAGACCGCCATGAATCCTACATGGATTCGCTCAATTACTCTGGCACAGATGACGGCCCTCCGCCCCATGATTATCTGCGCGAGTACATGGAAACAGGGACTTTGAAGCATGAGGAAGGAGTCTGTCGGTGCCCCGATTGTAATACGGCCCTCGGAGACCACCTGCGGCGGGCAAGATACCATTACTCGAGTGACGACGATGACGAGCACGGTGGCCACATTGGCTACATTGGCAACACCTACTACCATTATGATGATGATGACGAGGAGGACGAAGAGGATGATGAGGAAAGTGATGAGGGTGATGATAATGGAAGCGACGGGAATGCTGGAAGCGACGGTGAAGAGATGGATGATGTTCAAGGCGGACAGCAGTCAGGCGCTTCTCATCAAACGTAAGCTTGTTTGAGGCATATCTCAGGATATGGCCGCAAAGTAGTCCTACAGTAACAATGAGACTAAAATCGGTCGTACTTTGCTTCTGGCTTTCCCGTGGCCTAGGGAAACGAAGGTTCCCTCATCTCTAAAATAGATGAAATCAAAGTGCTAGGCACCAAACCAAGCCCCGCTATCGCGCTCTCTTTCCCCGTCTCTACATCTCAATCTGAATCATACGACTCATCCGAACTACAATACGGGCTTTCCTCGTCGGGGCCAGTATTAGACCCATCATCTGAGCCAGTGTCAGATCCGTCCTCTGAATCCGTCTCTGGATCGTTGCTGAAGCAGTTGTTCATTCTGTTGGTTGTATCTTCGTGATGTTGAGGGTCGTAATCCGGATTGTCTTCCACCAGATAGTCCCTGTGTCTGACCTGGAGGCACTGTTGTCGCGGTTTGAAAAAACTTTCTATCATATATTCCTTCCATTCCGCACCGGGATCCCGGATATGTGAGTTGAGGTCATACTTTATACTCGAAGTCCTGTCTGGTTGGTAGAACCATTGAACGCGTATGTTCCGACTGTGTTCCTTGAAAGCTGTCAATACGGGTCGCAATAGTTCAAAAATGGGGGTCCAGAGGTTGAGTCGGATGTTTCTCTGGGGCAGTCGGATGTAAAGGTGGAAGTCGCGTTTATGAACGATGCGAAGTAATTGGTCAACCATGGCCTGCGCTTCGGCCGGGCTAGCAACAAGGTCCTTAACGGGGACCTCAACAATCAGTCCTCTCAGTACCGCTGTAGGCTTGAGACCAACTTTGAAAGCATCTGCAGTGAGTAGCCGGATTGCCTCAGAAAGCGTAGTTGCGAAGAGGTGGCGGTAATTCGATCCTCCAGGTACCATCTTGTACCACATTTCCAGCGCCTCGCGCGCGGTCTCAATCCCAACGTAGGACTGTTTGATGAAGTGTGGAGCTGCTTTGTGTCCCATACATTCCTCCAAAGTTCCGAATTTACAATAGCAGTCTTCCTTTACAAGATCGCACAGTTGGCTCCAGGACTTGTTCACAGGAGCGGTTGCGCCGCCATTCGCGCTCCAGAGCTCTTCATAGATCATTTCGCGTATCTCACGAGGCAAGAGACGTTGCATCTCATCGCAGAAGGCCATATTCCAAGCTCGACTGTGAGATCTTACAGTGGCTCGCGACGTCCTTGGAAGAATGCGTTAGTGTGTTGTACGTTTGAGAGCGAAAACAATGCATTCTTCCACATACTTCGCGTATAGAGCACGCTTCTCGACAAGAAGCCGCACTCTTTCCTTTTTCAATTCTTGAAGCTTGTTGTTGATGGAACTTGTCTGTTGCATAGCCCTATTTGTAGATCAATCCATGTACTCGCAAAGGTGAAGGTAGAGCGTACTCTTGTAATTGTTGGTACGTTCGCCATGCATCTTCCTTCTGGCGATTCTGCTTGCACCTGCATGCACTCATCTTGTTCATCTGAAGTAGTGACCACGACAACGTGTGAATAGTATCTAGGAACTGGGGATGTGTTTGACCAGACCGAGAAAGATCAGAATGTGGGAGAGCAACGTTCGTTCGGGAATCTCAGCTAGCCATGCGGACGCGGCTCCGGGATGAGGGTAAACAGATCACCACTAGGGCATTGTGTTAGCGCGTACGCCCTACACCGAATCACATATGCAGCGACAGACGCCTGCATATACACCACATGGAGTGCTCGATGATTTGGGGGATCATTAACAATACGTTGATTCATGACTGCAAAACCGCTGGCTGTTCGTGCGATAACTACGAAATATCCATGTCGACGGCGGGAAGTAAACCTTATCCTACTTCATCGCCGCTAGTCAAACTTGGCAAAAGCAAGTTCATACGCCAGAGCAAGCGTCATACGCGCGTGCTGAAGCATATGGTCGAAGCTCAGATACTCAATCTTATCTTCGGTTGTGTGTATCTTGTTGTCGCTGTACTTGAAATCGGACTCAATGACGAAGGCTGACGGGTAGCCGGCCTTGGACGCGCTGGCGTGATCTGAACAGGCGTAACCGCACTTGGTCAGAACATACGGAATGCCACAGTAGACAGTGATGATCTTCTTGATGAACTCGGTAAGGCCGGGGTCAACGAAGTCAGTGATGACACCAACAGACTCAGGCTCGCCCGCGTCCAGCGTCTTCTGGACGTAGCCGGTCATGTCCTGCTGAAGCATAGCCTTGACCTTGCGAGCCTCCTTCTCGTAGGACTGGAAGATGGCCTGCGATCCCAAGAGGCCTCCTTCCTCAGCAGAGTACCAGTGGAACTCAATTGTGTTGTCTGCTTCGCCCTTGAGGATCTCTTCCGACTTGAGGAGTACGCGCAGGGCTTCGAGGATAGTTACGGTACCGCTGCCGTCGTCGTCGGCGCCTGGGGCGGCCAGGAGAGCTGGGAAGAAGAGGTTGATGCTGTCCTGGTGAGCGCCGATGACAATTGTCTTGTCGCTCTTGCCAGGAATGGTGGCGATGATGGAGGACTGGCCCCATGGGTGAGGGAACGCCTTCACGGAGGCTTTGACAGCGCCTGCATCCGCGAGAGTCCTGTTGACCTGGCCAAGAAGCCATGCCGAGCTCTCGACTCCGTATTTGGACTTATAGTATCGCGTGTGGAACGAGGTGAAGGTCTCGAGATGCTCGCGCATGTTGTCCTTCTCCAGCTTCTTGAGCAGCGGAACGATGGTCTCGTTGTGTACAGGCTTTTCGGGGAACTTGACGCTCTCGGTCTTGAACCGGCGGTCCAGCGTGCCGAGCTCTTCATTGTGCGTGATGTCGAAGAAGTTAATGTTTTGCTGTAGCATGTCAGCGGCAGGCTCCACATCGTCCACTGTCGGTGCCGGGTGGCCATACCTTGCGTAGCTCCCATTTCTCATCCTCTGTAACCCATCTTGTCTCACCCGGTGACAGCTCGATGAGATACTCGTCTGGCTCGATGATAGTAAGCTGCGGCTCCTGCAGGACCGCCTGGGGGTCCTTGGGATGCGAAACTGCAGCTGCAAGGGCTGCAGTGTACAGAGGTAGTAAGATGGTTGTTGACTTCATGATTCCTGGGGTGTGAATGCTAGCAAGAACTGTGATAACGTCTATGGCAGCTGGCACGGTGGCTGGGTTGACGCGGTGATGCCGAGATAGCGGCGGAGCTGTCCTGTTTCAGCCAAGCGCGTAGATCATCCGTCACGAGGTCACGCGTAAGATTAAGCAACTAGCTGCTACAAATTGACTACGGCGATTTACCGAGTCTGTTGACGTCGGACCGAGCTGTCAAAACACCAAGCTCCCCTACTTCAAGGTTACCGCTGTGTTCACGTCTTGTCACCTCTTTCCATGCGTTCTTAGCTCCTACTTCAAACACTACGCCTTGCAAGCCAACGCCACGATCCCCGCAGTCCCGAATAGGATGTATCTCTCCTTACGCTCCGTGAAGAGAAATGCACCTGCCAAACCTATGGAGACAAGCATCATTGTTTTAGCAAAGAGCACGAGGCTTCCACCTGTTTCCTCAGGACTCAGTAAACGACTTTCGCGCCTCTTTTTCAGCGCCTTCAACATCCTGACGCGGGTATTCAGATGTGTAGCGGCACCGAAAAATGTCCTGATTGTAGCATCGCGTACGCTGTGACCTGGATAGTCATAGTCTTCGTCGTTCAGAGGCTCGATAATCCTCTTCATAGCTGGCTTTCCCGTCGCCATGCCCTCCCAGTAGATACGTCGAAGGGGAAGTCCGATGTCATGGCAGACGCGAGGTAGATGCTCTGCAAACTTTTGGACGAGCTCGTCGCTCAAGTCGTGCTCTTTCAAGGAGAATCGGAGACCTAAGGACGCTTTCTCCAAGTCACTCGTTTGGAAGGCCGCCTCGCGCTCCTGTGTCTGATGCTGATGCAAGGGTACCAGCTGGAGAGTACGTTTATAGCTGCTGAGTCGATCCCACATCAGACATGCCTGTCTCTTTCGCTGCTTGTTGATTTTCTCGACGAGTTGTGTCATCAGAAAGGGTCTTCCATCTCTCTCATCTAGCAGTTCTTCGAGAGAGTTGCAGAATGCTGTCGTAAACGACTTTGGGCCTGGACCAAACGTTTCCATGTCTTCCGATACTGCTGCCAACAGCTGATAAGTCCGCGTTCCTAGGTTTCTGCCTTTGGCAGCAAGGCTTGCCATACAGCAATCAAGTACAACAAGAGCGTCGCCTTGCATTTCTTTGAGAATCGGAATTTCCGCTTTGGGCCAGCTCGCTGTTGCCTCATGCCGTCCAGTAACCCTGATGATCTCGGAGCTGACTCTTTAGTTTTGCATTGGCACGAAGTATCGACGGGTCACTCACGCTGATAGCTCGAGTAATTTCTCGTCATCTTCTGCTCCATGTCCGGTGTAGTAGAATATCAGGAGGCTATGTGGGTCATCATGCTCGAAAACATGATCCAGAATAGCTTTGTTGATGTCGAGCTGCGGCTTTTTGTTGTCGTCGATGGAATGTACAGAGCATTGATAGCCGAATCTGTCTCGGAAAATGCGTTCCAGTCGCGCAATCTATGCCTTTAGGTCAGTAAACAGTTCGTGGTATTGGCGTTAATCAATTCGGGGGGGACCAACTTCTTGAGTGTGGCCCTTGAAATCGTCAATGTTCTCATTCCAGCGAATGATCTTCACTGCAACTTTAAGATAACCATTTGGTATTTTCAAAGCCTCATTGGCGGTCTTTTGGAATATGGCCTGCCTCAAAGCGTCTCGGCTTTCTTCCAATTTTCGTGTGGCTGCGTCATCCGATACATTGGCGGAGTTCTTACGCGAGATCTTCATCGGCGGAGGACTGTAGCCGGCCAATTGTTCGCTTCGCTGTCGTGTCACGTCGGACAGCATCTGTTGTGTCGTCATGGCGGGTTCCCGTGCAACTCTCAAAATTCGAGGGCGGCCATTGAGGGATCGGTCCTCTTTTTGTAGCACCACATTGGGCTGTGTTTCTTCCGGTACGTTCACCTGAGCCCTGTGGCAGTGCTGACATACCCACCTGAGTATACAGCATAGGCGATTTAGCCCCGAGCAATCGAAACATGAGAAGGTAAAGTTTGCCTTGTATTTTGCCTTTTTTGCCCTCTTTCCTTATTGGATGTCAGACCCGGAGGTTCGTCCTGCGCATCGCGCCGTAATCAACATTCTTCCAACCACAATCGTAGCCGCCCCACCACCACGGTAGCAATCAAGTCAGCCGTCTGAACGATCAGAGAACCTGAGGCTCAAGCTCCGAAGATGGCACAGACTGGCGTTGCTCGGGGCTATAAGGATGCAGTGTCGCCTGAAGTATGCCTTATAACCCAGGAAGCCCGAGACTTGGAGGGCGCCAGTACGCCCATGAACTACCTTATTGCCTCAGGTACTATTATTACAGCGAAGCGACCGGAAGGTTCATATATCGTCTGCAAAGCCACCAATCATACTGCTCCAAATGTCGGACCAGGTGAGACCTCGTGGGCTCCGCCACCTAGGCACCATTGACTGGGTCTATTGCTGACCGGTTCTGCTTGGTCGATTTCAGGAAACCTCCTCTGGAAACGAGCGACTCAAGTCGGGCGTGCGCGTTAGTAGCAACCCTACGACGGTAAGCATCGAACCTTGAGATGTGATCAATGAATATGAATGATAACCACGACTAGCGCGGTGGAACTTTCACCTCTGGTGATGAAGTCAAGATGAAGATCACCGAAATAAAGCCCGATGGAAGAACCCGGATGTATTACAAGACCTTCGACATCTTTGAATCCCGTCTCGTGTCTGATCACTACGAATATCAGCTGACCGATCCCAACACGAATGCATCCTGGGAAGGAGGCAAATGGTTTAGAGAAAGTCTTTTGTCGAGTGCTTGAGGCGCTCACGGTATTGCCACGTTTCAGGGTTACTATTGGCTAACGTCCCGCGACATGGTCACAGCTCGAAGCTGTTGTGATCTGCGGGTATTCTCAGCCTTCCCAATCATACCACTACAAAAGTATTGCAATTCCGCAGATTATAGGCCTTCTCCCGTCTATGTGTATCCTCCACTTTACTGAACCACTTACCTTACTTCTTCGGTCATTGCAGACACAGATTCACGATGCATTCGCCCAGCACTCTTCCTTTTGACATTCCTGATTTGGAAAAGGGTATCGACTCGATTTCAAAAGATTCGAATGATACGACGATGGAACGTGATAGTCGTGCAACAACTATCAATGTGAATGACGCAGGAAAGAGTTCGCTAGGTCCTCTCGCCACCAACACCAAAGTAGCCAAATTTTCAGCTGCTCAAATCACACACAACAGCATCAGCGAAACTATAACGATACCTCGTATGTTCAGAGAGCGTGTATCCTGTTGAGCAGAATGCTAAAGCTACAATAGTGGAGGACTACAGGAAGGGTTACCCGCAACAAGCAGCGTTTCAATCCAGCGAGCCCAGCTGGTCCATATACCGTGGGTTCAACTATCTACACTCCCGAGTTATCTTGGAACTCCAAGACGAGCTCCGATGCATGGAAGAACAACTTTCCGATATGGACGAGTTCGATTTCCACAATGGTGACGGGACACGACTGATGTCAAGAAACAGCGACCTGATGCAGGCCAAGCGGGATAAGACTAAAAGTGTGCGTGCCGGCTTGATCAATGATATCAGAGCGAAGCTTGTCAACTATGGTACGTATCGTAACGGCGTACGTGGTACATTAAACTTACGGTACAATAGACGAAATTCTCTCAAGAGCTCGTGACCTCAACGCTTTCCAGCGTCCATCAAAGCGCGATTATCGCAGCTTTCGAACATGGTTCTTCAACGAGAAACCACTGAATTATGTACTGGAGGAGCAGTTCATAAAGCGAAAAGAAGACCTCGTCTCACTTCGACATGGTCGCGAATGGTCAGGTTTCGATGGTCTTATCGAGTCATGTTTACAGAGAGTACATTGTGGGCTCACTCAAGTAAGCCGCTACTGTCTATCGGCGTATATTTCAAGTCTAATCCTCCCAGAAACTATTCGCAACTGAAGAGCTTCGCAAGAAGACAAGCGACAAGTGCATCTTCTACTACTCGCATTCACGCATCGAAAAGCTAGTCGGGCTGATAATCACGCTCATAATTTTCGTATTGCTGGTTTTACCAGTCGTGGCTATGTATAAGCTGACTTCAGTTGGTGACCGCAACTCAACCTTCGACGCCGTCGGTATCCTGGTTGTTTTCACGCTTCTGTTCTCGGCGGCCATGTCACTTGTGACGAAGGCAAAGCGGCACGAGCTGTTTGGTGCCAGTGCGGCATATTGCGCTGTACTCGTCGTGTTCATCAGCAACTTCAACAATGATGGAAGTCGCTAATCTGGTTCATCGTGGAAGCACTTGAGCAGTCAACGGTCTCTTCGTCTCTTCCACTGCCATGGTCTTTTCTTCGTATGTACAGACAGATCCTACTTGCCGTTGTTATGAAGATGACAGTCTCTAAGAGTTCGTAGCATGAGGTAGTAACACATCTTCCATAATGATCATTGAGTGAATTGTCTTCTTCGTCTGCACAGTGCTCGTTATCAGCGCGTCCACAAAGAATCGTTCAACGCGAATGTACACCAACGACAATATTCGGCAAACATCAGCACCTTAAATCCGGAATTGAGAATCGCTTACCTACATGATGCAGAAACACGCCCTGGCCTGACGTCATCACTTTACGTTGTGGTCGCGGTGCAACTTAGCTAGAAGAAATTCTCTCGTCTCGTCCTCGTATGTCGTTTCGATCCTTCGAATTTCTTAGTCACAAGTTGTATGTCAAATATCATTTCAATGTCTACGGGTAGGTGTCAAGCTGGCACAAGGTGCGATTGCGCGCGATGCGGGTAGCTTTAACTCCGGGCGAGGAAGCCCACGAAGTTCTTCTCGGGCCTAAGTATAAAGAGGGGGACAGAGCTAACGAGCCCCGAGCCAACGAGACAACGAAAAAACCGTGACACTTTGTTCATAGATATTTCGGATTGTACTAGTATACAGATTTGTATCGCAACACACCAAACGAAATGGCAGACTCTTCAATCGTTTTCATCACGGGCGGCAACACTGGCATTGGGTACGAGACCGTAAAGGCTCTGTATTCTTCACCACAACCGCACACCATCCTGATGGGCAGCCGCTCTCTCGAAAAAGCCAACGATGCCATCTCCAAGCTCAAGGAGGAAGTCTTGGAGTCCAAGTCAGATATCGTCCCTGTCCAAATAGACATTGAGGACGATGCGTCGGTCGAAAACGCATTCAAGAACATCGAGAGCAATTATGGTCACATTGACTCGCTAATCAACAATGCCGGTATGTGCTGTTCTCTGTCTCTCCAATGCGGCAGACTGATGTGTGGTAGGCGGATCTTTTGATGGCATCATGCGCAAGGACCCTAGCCCCAAAGGCATTCGCGCAGCTTGGAACAGAAGCTACTCCCTTAACGTCACTTCCACCCAAGTAGTGACCCATCTTTTCGCGCCCCTATTGATAGCCTCCAAACACCCTAGGCTTCTCTTCGTGACTTCTGGTCTGTCTTCCCTCGAAACCTCTTCCAGTAGCTTCAATTCCAAGCTCATGAACGCACCGCCGCCAAAGGGTTGGCCCAAGCCACCATCCATGGCCCAAACAGCTTATCGCTCGAGTAAGGCTGGGATGAACATGATGATGCTAGACTGGACACAAAGTCTTAGCGTCGATGGAGTCAAAGTCTTTGGCATCAGCCCCGGATTTCTGGCTACGGGATTGGGAGGCATGGGGCCGGAAATGTTGAAGAAATGGGGTGCGGGCGACCCAAGTATTGGGGGCGTGTTCATCAAGGATGTTGTGGAAGGGAATAGAGACGAAGATAGCGGCAAAGTTATCAACAAGGATGGTGTGCAGCCTTGGTAGCTGCGCTATCTGCGGTATGATAGGCCGTCGGCTGTCGCACAACATTCGCAGATCTACTATTCTCGGTATCAGTCCATGGTTTGCTAATTTTCAGCCCCCAAATGAAGACGGTCCCTATGCCAGTATTGTTTTCATGGGAGCACCCTTTCATTCTCTGGGGCTATTTTAAATCAACCTTTCGTGCATGTGTCGACTCCTCCTTCGTCTTCGTGTTACATCATAGCTTATAATAATATGCATGATGCTGTGTATCCAGGGAAGGCTGACCCATCCGCAGGCGCCATTGCCACGGTGTCCAAGGCCTTTGAACCTCATGAGCTGAAACTCGATGGAATTGTGCGGTGAAGAAACCTCCCAACATTTACCACTGCATTAAATCGCAGGTAATGTGGAATATGTAGCCCATACAGTTGACGTCTGTATCTTCGTGTGGGAAAAGCAGTGAGACTTTCGCTGCTCAGCCTTGTGCCTTCGTCCTCTTATCTCTCCGCGTTCCCCGCCCCCACTTCGAAGAGCACAAACCTATGATCTTAGCTCTGGCCTACTACCCAATACGGCTAATGCTATCATCGCAACAAACTGCGCCTCGCTGCAAGTCGCTTCTACCTTTCCAATGGTTCGTTCTACACCGTGGAAGCATCTTAACGACAAGTATGTTCGCGCAACCGCTCTATCAGACGCTATCTCGTCCGTTAAATATAGAAGAGACAGCAGGTAGCAGAGTTATGAGCTGCATTGCGTACTTTATCGTGTTCTGGCGATGCACAACTCTTTACAATCTGCTTCGATAGCTAGACACATACCTTCCACAAAAACACTGTATACTATTACCAATAACCTACTTCCAATCGTTAAAAAGACCCTGTATATCTATTGTACATCTCCAAGATAATATTTGTCACCCTAAAACGTCACCTAGATACCATGGCATCCGAATACGAGTCAGTTTACCTTGGAGTCTGGACGAATTGGTCGCATGGCTCGATCGCCGGCCTCACACTCACGACGACTCTTCAAAATGGCGGTTTACTCATCGCTTTCCTCGCGCTGTTCACTACTTTTACTGGAACCTGTTTCTGGACCATCGTCTCGTTCGCCATCCATCAAAACATGAGCCGCAAAATACCCCAAAGCGCATTGTACCACCAAAAGCAAGCAATACTTCGCAACTCAGAGACCAGTACAGCGGCTTTATGGAGACTATCAAGAATGTCTTGGGCCTGGAGGAAGGTGGTGGTTCCGCCCGCGTTACTCAGATCGGTGTCATTACCACTAGTCCTCAGCTTAGCGACCTTTTGCGCTTTCAGCACAGCCGGAGTTTTCTCTTCGCGAGTAGCCACTACGAGGGGTGGCGAGGTTCTTCTCGTTGGTGACAGGTGCGCTACATTGAACAGTTCCCTGTTCACCGAACAGAACTACCGCGTAGCTCAATCGTATATTGCCAGTAGGACCAGAGCAAGCGCCAACTACGAGTCAGTTTGCTATAGGAAGTCTGGGTCAGCAGATAGCTGCCGCAAATTCGTCCGAGATACTCTCCCTGTGACGGTCACGACTGGCATTTCCTGCCCCTTCCCGGGCAAGAACAAGATATGTCATTCTCCGACAGCAGCCCTCCGTTTGGATTCCGGGTTCCTGAATAGTCACTCTGATCTAGGTATCAATTCGCCGCCTTCCTCAAGATTTCTCTATCGAACCGTTAACGAATGTGCCCGAATACGCAGCGAAGGGTACACATACAGGAATTCAACGCAACCCCAGTGGAGTGTTCAGTTCCTGTATGGACACTTTAATGAAGCCTTCTGTGAAAGCAACGACATTGAGTGCACTGTTCAATTTGCTGATGCGAACACTCACCGAGGACCTTTAAGAAGCGAGTACTCGGTTTCGTAAGTCCTTCTCGTCAATACACTACTTCTACAACTAAACATGCGTACAAGTTCAGTCACACGCTACAACGTTCTCGACAACGACCAAGTCTTTTCAAACGATGCCTGGGAGCCCATTCAGGAACTGGAAGTTCCTGACGCAGACCTCGGTGTGTATTTCATGCAGATGAAGGATATCAGGTATCTCGAACCCGTCACCGACTTATGGTTTGAAGCTCTGGACAAGGTGGTCAACAACGGTAAGGAGTTTGGGAATCAGACTTCTTACGCTACCGAGCTGCCAATCAGAGCACTAGCATGCGTTCAGCGATACCAGTTTTGCCGGGCATCATTAGAAGAAGCCAAAAGCTGTACGTCGCTGAATGGTATATTTGAGGCCACTAGATTAGCCTCCTCAACACTCTTTCCACAGCCCAAAGATTCTGAGAGATTCCTTTGGTCCCTACGCGCCATCAGGGATATGGCCGGTGGCTTCCATGAACTCGTCAGCCAGCTCAAGGGCGGATCGCTTCTCGCGAGTGATTATGTCTCAAATAGTGGGCAGGGTGGTTTACCAGACAATCAGTGGGAGCTGGAGCTGGAGCATTGGTTCAAATTCACGATGGCCGACTTACAAAGAGCCATACTCGAGCAAGCGACTGGTCCAGTTGTCCCAGAGGCTGTGCCATTCTTTTCAGCGCCCACGTCTCCGGAAGCACGAGCGCTCTGTGGTAGTCAGAAGATCAGGAGCGACTCCTATACTTCGTTCAATGTGCTCGGCCTTATATTGATGTTTTCCATCGGAAGCCTCATCATGCTTGTCGCTGCCTGTCTACCGTCTGTTACTGCGCGTTTGCAGCGGAAGAAGCCATTTTCCAGTATCGAGTGGGTCACAAACGATACACTGCAGCTACAGCGGCTTGCACACGAGGCTGTCGGAGCCGGACAGTGGCAGGGCGCGTGCGATGATTATCCGCGAACGCGAAAGGGAGATCTTCTGGCAGTAATCGATATATCCAACAAGGAACACCCTGTGCTCCGAGCTCCCGCAGCGGCCGAGATGGTGAAGGAAGCAGAGCAAGCCGAGGAATCTCAGGACGAGGAACAAGGTATGCAGGAGCAGAGAAGCGAAGGAAGCGTCGAAGAGTGGAGCGAGGGCCTCAATATAGCAGGTTCAACCCTAGAGGACAGGGATTAACTATATTTCTAATAGCTTACGTTATTACTATTATTATATAATTTTATATTAGACTTATTTAATATTATAACGCAATAATATAGCTACTAATATAATATTAGGCTACTAAAACTTAAAAAAACTTCTACCTTTCTCTAATATAACTAACTTAATACTAACTACTACTTACTACTACTACTTACTATTCTTACGCGTTTTTTAACTTATTAGCTATTTATTACTATATTTATATAGTATTAACTATATCTAGAAGCTACTATATTTATACTTTATACTTTATAGTAGTATTTTTAAAAAAAACTTACTAGTACTACTATAGTAGCTAGCCTAAATAAAGATATACTTTTATTTAGCGTAGCTTATAAAACTACTTATTAATAAAGAGTAGCTTAGTAGTAGTAGCTACTTTTTTTATTAGTTATATAGCTACTATAGAAATAATAATAAAGCGTATTACTTATATACTAAAGTTTAAGTTCTTAGTAGTATATAAGCTATAATAGTTAAAGTAAAGAAAATTAGTATTCTTTAGTAGCTTATATACTATATTAAAGTACTAGCTAAGTAGTATAAAAAAATTAATAAAAACATTCTTAAACTAGGTATACTTTACTAATACTATAAGTATACTTTTATTATTTATATTAATATAGGCTCTTAATCTTTATATAGTAGTAATACTAGTAAGAGGTTTTAGTATAAGCTATATACTTCTAAGAGAAAATAATATAGTTACGTATTTAATTATTATTATTAGTTAGTTAGTTAGTTATTTAGTTATTTAGTTATAATTATTTAGATTTTAAAGATAATAGTATAAGTATATAGAAAGACTTCTTTATATAGCTCTTAAGTACTTTACTTATACTTAATACTACTACTATAAGTTAGTTACTAAATATAAAACTTAGCTAATTATTATATCTTTAGTTTAAATTTCTATAGTACTACTATATAACTCTTACTTAACTATCTAAAGTCTACTTAATATCTTTATAGTCTTATATTACTACTTTAGCTTTTACTATAAGCTTATATTTAGATAAAGTTTATAAATTATATACTATATTACTAATCTATTAAGTAAAAAGAGTAGAGTATAGCTCTTTATTATATATTATACTACGTTACTACTACTGCGTTATAGAATCTACTCTAGCATTAACTCTATTTATCTATTAGGAATAGCAGGTTTAAGAGGGGAAAGAAAGGCGGAGTGGCAGAGGAATGACTCAATCCACGAGTCTTTGATGAGTGTCGAGATTCCGCGCGTGTCTTTGGAGCTGTCACATCGCTTTGCCGCTGAAATCTGTTAGTGCCCTTATTAGAATTCGATAGATGTAGGAACCATGCAATCCCAGAAATGACGCGCATTGTCAGAGAGCACCACGTAATCTCGTGGTGTGAGCATGTTGATGAACGCAGGAGCAAAACGACGCGCGCAGCGATGATGCCAGCCAATGCAAGTGCAGAAGATGCCGTAACGCGTGCCTCGGCTATAGAACGTTATCGATAAGGCACCCTCGAGCCTGGCACCCTTCACCATCACAATGCAGCCCTTCGTAATTACCACACATACCCCCCAATACATAGAACATTCAGATGCCGACCACGCGAGGCCAAAAGCGCGACGTAGAAATGGAGGCAGCCCTGAAGCTTTTCTTCTCAAGTCCGCGCTTCGCTGTCGCCGGCGCGTCTTCCGACCCACACAAATACGGACACAAGAGTACGCTAAGATATCCTCTTCCAACCTCGCCTCGTTCCCGTCATGTCTAATGCGATATCACAGTATTCGCTTGGTATCTCCAGCACTCCCTCCCCGCAACACCTTTGAACCCGCGGAGCTCGAGCGTCACCATCTTGAACCGTGCTCACACCACCGTGCCCTCGCCGACAGCTCTTCAGGACCCACCAGCATCCAGCTACTCCCTGTCAGTGATTACGCCACCTACAGTGACGAAGCAGTTGCTCAAAGAGGCCAAGGAGGCTGGAATTCCTGCTGTATGGCTCCAGCCTGGAAGTTTCGATACCGAAGTTCTAGAGTACGCGAAAGCTAACTTCAAGGCGGCGATTGGCGGCAATGGTGGCAGGGGAGGAGAAGGGTGGTGCGTGCTTGTCGACGGTGAAGAAGGAATGAGGTTAGCCGGAAGAGAAGCGTCGAGACTTTAGTACCACGAAGGTCGACCAAGTAGTATGTCTAGCTTCCTACCTAGGTACGCTGGCTCTTTGAGGTGTCACGATAATGTTCATGGATGATCGAAATATACTGTATTTCATATCAAGAAGATGATATATACTTGAACAAACTAAGTTTACCATCCCGCGTCTACATCCAATGTTCCTTAACCTTTCCTCCACGAGCTCTCCGTCTTGAGCCAAGTCTCAAACCCCTTCATCTCCGGATTCATCCTCTTACACCCCTCGATATCCGCGCCGAATCCCTTCTCGCGAAACCAATCGAACATGTACCCAAGCTCTTTCGACATCCAGCACAACGCCCCGGCGACAGATCGGTACGTCATCGGAAGCTTTTCACCCGTCTGCTTCTCGAAGATTCCCTTGAATTGCTGGAACGAAAGCGACTCTCCTGCTAACGACATACCCTTGTTTTGGTATACCGGAGTATCGTGCTTGAGAAACGCTTGAGCGGCGAAGAACCCAATGTCACTAGTACTGATAAGTTGTAAAGGTTTCTCCTTTGGCAGCTTGTTCGCCCAACTCGTTGTGAACACCTTGCCAAAGAAATCTGGAGTCAGATTCTCGTAAAATGCCACAGGTCGCAGTACGGTATATGTCATGTTGCCTTTCCTGGATTCGGAGAAGAGGTGTTGCTCGATGTTATGTTTCGTGATGAAGTGGGGGACGGTTGTCGGATCCGAGTCTGATTTTGCACCGCCTCGATCCGCGGAAGAGAAGACGAAGTGCGATACACCGTTCTTGATAGATGCATTTACAAGGTCCTTTCCTTGCTTCTCCTCATTCTTTCCGAGCGCCTGTACGAGGGTTCAGCAAAGCTTGACTATCGTTGCAGGAAACATGCTCACCTGAACACTAAAGACTCCCCAAATGGGCATCTTGGTGGACTCTCTCGCTGCCTTGAACATCTCGTCGGCTGCATCGAGGTTTCCGGTGACGAGTTTGATCCTCGACGACTTCTTTTCGAGCTTCTTGGAGGATGACGACTGGGCGTCCCGGGTGACTGCTAGGATTTCGTATGGTGCGTCCGATTTGAGCAGGGCATCAACGACTGAACCACCTTGTTTACCAGTCGCACCTGTGACGAGGACTGCTCTGAGAGCCATTGAGGGCTAATCGGATATTATCTAGTATGGTCAGGAGAAAGAGAAGAAGGTTGCGACTGTGTTCGATTGAGAGTTGAGTGATGCTTGCATCTCTTATGGACACATCGTTCTGCCATGTCTATTGACATATGCGAAATCCAGCTCTGCTTAGTATTGCTCGTACACATGGTGTTGCGCACCGCGACTGTGCGAGTCGGCGGGTTGTTCGCCCGCTTCTGGCAGCAGCTGAGACGAACGCCGCTGATTGGTGTTCGGCCTTCCGAACAGCGAACGCGAGGCGGCTTACGGGATCGAGCTGCCCAACTTCTGTCCGGTCGCAGCTCCGTCGCATCGTTCAAGCAATGGATGCATCAATAATTGAGTGACTGTTCTGTGACTGACCGCACATCAAGACGCGGAAAAGGGTATATATCTGCTAGCAAAAACGATCTCAAGTTTCCCGACATGGCGTGCATCGCATCACCAAGCCAAAGACATCTACATTTCCTTCGCGACGGCCTCCAGGGACTCCTTGAAGATGTTACAAGCCTGGCTCAACTCCTCCTCGCTGATAGTGAGTGGCGGAATGAACCTCAGCACGTCAAACACCGAAGTGCTGAGGAGAAGCATGTCTCGCTTGACGCATTCCTGCACAATCTTCGGTGCAATTTGTGGCTGGCTCTGAGCATGTTGCACAGCAGTATTTGACGAGTCGCGTTGCAATTCTGGGTTTGCAAACTGGACACCGACCATGAGACCCGATCCGCGAACATCTTCGATCAAGTTACCGGCCTTGGTGCCAGAAGCTTTGAGATCACGGAGGAACGAGAAGATCTGCTTGGAGCGCGCGGCGACATTGTCCAGGATCTTCTCCTCGTGGAATGCTTTGACTGTGGCTGTTGCGGCGGCGCATGCGACTGCGTTACCCGCATATGTGCCACCCATGGATCCTGGTTTTTGGAGATCCATGAGCTTCTTACTGCTCGCAATACCGGATAGAGGGAACCCGTTCGCAATGCCCTTTGCGAAGATGAGAATGTCTGGTCGTACGCCAGACTCCTGCACGAACCACATATGTCCCGTGCGGCCCATACCAGACTGGACCTCGTCAGCGATGAAAAGGACGTTGTGCTCGTCGCAAATCTGCCTGACGCCGTGTAGGAACTCGGGTGGTGCCGGGACATAGCCTCCCTCGCCAAGAACGGGCTCCAGAATGACAGCTGCGGTATCTGCGGGAGAGGTCTGCTGCTGCAGGGTGAGCTTCAATTGAAGCAGTGCCTGGTTCACGAGTTGCTCCTTCGGTGTGTCTGGAGACATGCCGAACTGGCTGTAGTATGGGAATGCGGACGCAAAGACCCCACCCATCAGAGGTCCATGGCCTTCGCCGTAAATAGTCTTGGATCGCGTCATCGAGGCTGTCGCGTTCGTGCGGCCGTGGTATGAGCCCTGCATGACGATGATGTTCGGCTTCTTCGTCGCGGCACGGGCAAGTTTGACGGCTGCTTCAACGGCCTCTGCACCCGAGTTCCAGAAGAAGACGGTATCGAGCGATTCGTGGGGAAGTATCGGAATCAGCTCTTTGAGAAGAGCGATCTGTGCGGAGCTGAAGCCAATGTTGACTTGGGCGTGTGTGATCTTGTTGCATTGTGCCGCTGCGGCAGCGCTGACTTTGGGGTGGCAGTGACCAAGGTTCACAACACCAATGCCGGCCGTCATGTCAAGCAGCTTGACGCCCTTGTCCGTGGTGATGAATGTGCCCTTTCCGTCTTCAAAGACATGCTTGGTGAGGCGGCCAATGCCCTTTGCAATGTGCTGTTCGCCAAATGCTGCTGTATCCATCTCAGAGGACGCTGGTCGTGTAGTAGAGAACGGTCGTCGAGGTGTTAGGGCGTGTCGCGGAAGAGTGGGTACGAGGTTGCGTGGAGCTGACAAGCAGCGTCTGGATACCGTGGCGGCCTTCATTATGTATCGTGGGGATTGTGCTGCTGCTTTCGACTGCCGTGTAGGTCAAAGTGGTGGGGTTCGGGTTGAGGCGGCCTGACGTAGCTAGCACGCTTATCGCCGAAACTAGACGCCCTACACGCGTTCTTATGACCTTCACGATCATTTGCGACGGCCAACAACTCACTCACTTCGCTTCTACTAACTTCTTTAGGTAATACAAGAGACCGTCTGCCAAGACTTCTTACTCAACGACAAGTCATCTACACGCCCCACACGCCTGAGATATTGTCTGGTAATCGGCCTGCAGCTGTTGTTTGAGCAGAACTTTCCTGTTGCTAGGATAGTACTGATGCCTCTATCGAGCCAGCGGCAAATACACAACCACACATAGCAACTACGCCGAGGTTCACTATCTGGGCGGACTACATAGGTCTACGGTTCCCGTTCGAACGTAGAACGTACGATCAACACAACCTATGAGCTTGGAAGACACCGAGATCTCTCTGGTCTAGCCGGTGGTTCAGATATGAACCTTCTCCGCAGCCGTCACACGTCTATCCTGCACTTTTCCACGCCGGCTCTGATAAGTGTACAAAGTACATCATGAGTCTACCGCGTTCGCTATCACTACCTAAGACTCGCGCTCATTTCACTATGTTCTCATCATAAGCAAACAGTCTCAGACGTTGCTTCCCTCCTTACGATCCCAAGCCATAGGCCCCGGGTCTCGAGGACCTCCAGCAATGACCGAAGTTACTGTGAACTTCGTCTCCTTTATGATATTCTTCTGAGAGTCTCCATCACTATTATCGGCCTCGTCGTTGTCGCCCAAGGTCTGGAACGTGTCCATGGCTATCACGCGGGAGCGCGAGGTGGGCTGCCGATTGTTTATTCCAGATTGGTATGCTTGTCCGCCAGATGCATCAGGAGTATTGGAGCCGGCGGATACCCTAATGCGCAGGGATAGGAGAGGGCGAAGAGGAGGTAGCGAACCGGCGATGAGGCCAATGCCGACTTCGGTCAAGGACCAGAAGCCGATTTTGCCCGTACTGTACATGAACTCGCCAGGGTCACTGTAGAGTGTGAGGTACTTGAGGCGGACGATGGTAGCACATGAGGCACTGAGTCAGGATTAGTTCTTGATACCATAGCATGAGGGATCGTCAAGGCCTTACAAAGAAGCGAGCGCAAGCATGACAGCAACTGAAGCTTTCACAGCTCCCTTCATCTGGACATTCCAAAGCAGAATAGCCGGCATGATCGAGAGACTAAAGTCCGCAGTGATCTCGATGGCCGAGTAGAACAGACTGACGTTGGTATTGAGTTGAAGGTTGCAGGTGCCATTAGATTCACCCCATAGCGTGTTGATCGGATGGCCGGCAAAACGTTAGCGACGATATTTCCTACTTGTAGAACAAGTCAACTCACAGATGTTTGCAATTCCTATGCAGAAGACTAAAGCAGCAACCATGGTAGCACCAATCAGCGCCCATAAAGCCCACGTGAAGAAGCGACGACCAACAGCGATGCGCAGAAGCGCTACTGCAACACTGATCTTGACGAACATGGCGCTGACTGCGTAGAAGTACTCTGCGATGTAAAAGAGCTGAACACAGTGAGTATGGAGTCTATAGCATTTTGTAGATAGGGAGTATGTACCTTTGTTCCTTTGGATATCGTCACCGTGGGCAGCTCTCGTGCGAACTGTCCAGAGCCATAGTGACAACAGACGATGCAAAGAGCAGCTGTTACTGAAAAGAGAATCTGCAGCGAACTATCAGTTGGCTTATCCCATGCTGGTGGTGCTGGGCACTTACAGTTCCGACGAGCATGAAGTAGTCATCCATGCCCCACGCTTTCCTCCACATCCGTACCCCGACTCTCATGGAGAAGACGATCCAACTCAACACGAGCAATATGATTGCGCAGTACAACAACGCCACTCCATCTCTGGCCACTTCGACAGTCGTCATGTTCCTTGCGCAATGTTGACAAACGTATCAGAGACCGAGAAATGAAGCAAGCAGATGACGAACATGAGACCGGTGGCAGCTCGCCAGATGACATATATTGGACGTTTCATCTCTACCACTGTACCACAGGAGAACCCCAATTTTCTGTCGACTCATGTCGTGGATCGTGAGCCGTGCAAACAGGGCCCTCGTGTTACGTCCTAAGGTCGCGGGCGCTAGACGTAAAGGGCTTCGTCTAGATCGGATCTAATGTGTCAACCATCCGCGGAGGATGCCCTCGGGAATAGCTTAGTGTATAGGACTGCCGCGTGGTCCGAATTGTTTACGTTTTCTCCGACACCTTGCTTTGTGGAAGCGAGCATCAATGGAGCATGGTCCCACTATGGGCTGCGGCGTCGTGAAGAGGAGCTACCCGCATCAAAGAAGCCTTATGCGTACCAGACTTGCTATCCATCTAAATCGTCGAAGTACCCGCGAGGCGTTGGTGACCCCTCGTGACCGGTACATGGGTGGCAGGTGTCGTGATTTTCTTCCCCTGTCGGGCCGTTGCTAGCTTAAGTGGGTCTTACAGCTGGTCCGCCCATGGGCTCGGTTCCAACACTGGCCGGCGCCACGCTCAGACTGCCTGATTAGAAAATGTTCGTCCCAAGACGGCAGTAAAGTTGGGTGGTCACCTGGTTCAGGCGATTACCATCACGCCTCGGATCTTGACTGATAGATGCGTAGTCGCGCGAGTGTGTTTCGATGTTGATTGAGCAGCTTCAAGGTCGCGGTTGGCTTGCTACGAGCGGAATCCTTCCCTGCGATGAAAAAAACGGGCCCCGTACGAAGTCCCTCCCGAGCTCGCTGTGTTCCTTGTAAATCTCCGGCAGCTCCTCAGATTTCGTTTGAGATGATGTTTCTGGGCCCAGAACACGGGTAGCCTCACAATGCCAGCCCATGACTGTTCCAAATCAGTGCGCTCTTGCATGAGCTCGAGCTGATGCGCAAGGGCCCCGATTATGTCTGCATATTATCCTCTTCCTTTCTGTATTTTGCTGAAACTTCCATCTGTTTACTCTCACCATACCTAGCTCCGCCATGACATCGTTCCAAATCCAAGACTCTGACCTGACGGGCTTTCAGGGCAAAGTTGCCGTCATAACAGGTACCTTGGTTCGGCCCAATCAACTTTCAGGTTCCAGAACACTGACAATGCCGTAGGTGGGTCGTCTGGTATCGGCCTCGCCACAGCTGAGCTACTGCTCTCTCTAGGCGCACTAGTTGTGACTGGTGATATTCAGGCACCACCGGCGTCTGTGGCTGACTGTCACTTCGTCCAAATCGACGTCAGGCGCTGGAGCGATCTAACGAAACTATTCAAGGCCGCGAAGGAAAAGCACGGTCGTGTTGACTTTGTATTTGCGAATGCTGGAATTGGGCCACGCGCAAATTACTTGGCTCTCGAAGTCGATGAGAACGGTGACCCCAAGGAACCAAATGATGACACCTTGGACATCAATCTGGACAGTGTTGTCAGGACCGTGACACTCGCTACCCATTATCTGAAGGGCCAGGTCGAGGGGGGGTCCATTGTCATCATGGGGTCCAGCACCGGCTTGCATCCCGTCCGAGCAGTTGATTATTGTGAGTAACAGTTCGTCGATCACGTTTGAATCTCCGACTAACAGCACGACTCAGCGACGGCCAAAGCGGGTGTTCTAGGCTTTGGTAGGAGTTTCGCGCTGTTGGTGAAGGCGGCCGGTCTGCCTATTCGCGTCAACACTCTCGCCCCTTCATGGACGGCAACTCAGGTCTTGCCCGATTTGAAAGGCTTGCTAGATGCGGTTTCATACAACTGCCAGCCTACTTCAGTCGTTGCCCGAGCAGCGGCCTACTTGATGGTAGACAAGTCTCGTCACGGAGACCTCATCTTTGCCTGCGACGGAAAATACACAGAGATCGAGAAGGCTGTGCTTGCGCCAGCATATGCAACTATCAAGGGAGACGGATTAAGCGACGATGATGTCCTGGCGAAGGTCTTGGCGCTGGGTAGCTAGACATCCGACTGAATCAACGAGCAAATTCTGAAGTATTAACGGATTTAACATGGATGATGTGAGTTGAACGATCGGAGAACCATAATCTGGAAGGGGGACGAACCCCTGCCAAGATTGTGATTGGTATACCCCTTCGGGTTAGATTGTCACTAATGATGTCATGCTGGCCAAACCCGAAATCACTTATTCCCGAGGTCTGCTGTGTTTCTGCTTAGGCATGAACTACTATTTGATGTGACCGTCACGAGCTATCCGAGTCTAAACACACTGACTGTAGTAATCGCCATTGGCTTTACACGTCGACCCACTCGCACAGCCTGTACATCCACTATAGGTTTTCCCGCCACACTGCCCATACTTCGCAACTTCGCATATGGGCGCAGCCGGCACTGTGGGCGTGGCAGATGCGCTGGTCATCATGGTAGTGGGGGAGGCTGTGGCAGTGGGTGCAGCAGTGGGTGCAGCAGACGGCGCGGGCGCAGAACCGCTTCCATCCCAAACAGCAGGACCAGGGACAGGATAAGTGGTTGCTTGCTTGGCTTCAGGGGAGTCAATGTTGAAAGCAATGCCGGGCTCTGTTCCAGTGTAGGCGCCCGGGAAAGAAACGAGCGCTGATGCGGGAGGAGAGGCTGTACCCGATCCTGTCACGGTGAATTGAGCGCACTCGGGATAGACTGGAGAGTATCAGCTTGAGCATCGGTATGCCAATGTGGAAAATTGGCTCACATTGCGGGTTGTTCGCCTGATGTACAGCGATGAGCTCATGACGGATCAAGTAGTCACCTGCTGCAAGTGTAGCCGGGATAGTGACTGTAGCATAGAGAGTGTCGAGTATGGCATCGCCGGCCTAAAATAACGGTGTACGAAGTCAGTGTATGTCTCACACGCAGTTCGTACATGGAAGATTTTACCCAAATGCCGGAGTTTTCAGTCCCGGATATGAGGCCTTGCTCATATATCTTAACTACGTCGCGGTCCTATTAGAGATGTAGTCCACCTAAGGGATGTGTACTTACACCACACTTTACCAGCTCCATCGAAGCTGTCACAAGATCCCGGACATTTGGCCATGTATACAAGAAGAGAAGTCGGCCTGTGAGTCCATTGCTTCCAGTGTGTCTTCAATTTGGCACCAGCGGCAACGGTGCCAGTCATGCCTGTACCGAGAGCGCCGTTATTGTTGCAGCGGATGTTGACTGTCTAGAATAAGTGAGCTTTTGGTTGATGTACGCTTTTGTAGGGTCGTACTGAGAGATCTTTGATGTACATGGGGTCGTAAGTCGAGTACTGTCGCTGAATGGACTTTTGACCTGAAGCTGAGTTGTACGGTGACCATCTTGGAATTGTCAGTACATGGGAAGAGTGCGTGTGAGAAGGTGATGTACCCTTGGTAGGTTGTGTCTCCTACAATATACTGATCGACTCCTCCATGAGCGGTCGCAGTTGCAACCAAGGAAGCAACCGCCGTCAACGCCGTGTAGAACTTCATTATGATGTTGTAGAGCAAACTAGAGGGACCGATATTAGATAGCAAGTCGATGCGCAAAGATGGGCGGTGGTACAAGCAGAGAGTGCACCCTCTCATATACTTTTCGTTTGCCCCGTAAGCCACACCAGCGCGTATCGCGTGAGGAAACCGGGTATTGTGTTGCCTCATAGAGGCAAATTCCCACGCGTACCATAGATTGATGTGTGATACTAGTCCATATGCTTGGTCCGTCACAGCCGCATGGCATCTCGACCTCTAGAGGAGTTTGTGCGACCGGGCCAGATCTGAGGGATACTGCATAATCCGATCAATGGGCCAATGGTGCGAAAAAGCACGTTCGACTTTTGTGGTAGTCTTAACGGAGCAGACAGCCGTTGGGGGAATGCATAGATGAAGTGCGCAGGGGTGTAAATAGCCGGAGGTCACATTTCGCGGGGAAATCGGTAGCGTGTGCCCATGACTTGAATGCTTGTATATGAGGTGTGGGTCATCTATAATTTAGGATGATCTTGATCACACATGGCCGCTGCTTGTTCGACCATAAGATATGAAGCTCAGAGCTTGAGTATCTCATCGGGTTCGTTAGCGACAGCATCACAAGGGTTGTGAAAATGGGCTGCACGCGCAAAGTGTAGCAAAGACCTGAGTGTGAAAGTATTAGTATACGGTACTGATTTGAAGAGCCGCTGGCTGGAGAGAAGACCATACCTCGCTTATGCATGGGTGGTCAGAACACACTACGTCACGGTGGGGTCTGCTATGTGTGGTCATTCAAATGAATCGTGAGATGTACGGAGCGCCCGGTCAATATAGACCCATCGAATACGCTGAGCCGAACGAAAACCTGGTCGAGGGCCTTAGCCATATGTATAGCGTGTCAGCTCCAGGCTGGACCTGCTCGTTTGGCGCAACAGGAACTGTGAACAGTGGGCATGATTTCGTAACAGCATATGTCGTCTTCTTCGCTGGTAGAAGCAGACGAAAGGCCAGATTGGAGTGATGGAAGGATTGTGGAGCTAATCTGGTCGCCTGACAAGACGATAGAGTGTTCAATAGCGTGATGCATGGATGCCCACCGTCAGATAAGCATTCACATCTCGCGGGACGCTATACTGAACATAAAGTCAGGATGAATAGATGAAATCTGATCCGAGCGCCAGGTCCGGAAAGAATTGCTCAAGCACATGGCAAGCGCCTAGATGTATCGCAGCTGTTGCCCCGGGTGTGCTGAAGCTGGACTGTCAGTCGCTGTCCATGTATTAACAGAGTCGTGAACCAATGTGCGAGAAGGAATTGATAATAGAGAGAACACTTTTATGCAATACCTAGTTCCTTCACCCGTAATA